GGAGAAAACACATGACTCAAGCATGTAGTCATCCAGTCTTCCTGCCTGTTTGCCGGATTGGTCGTTTGTGTGAGATATTTTGCTGTTCCGGGTGTGTGTGTGTGTGTGTATGTGTATGTGGTAGTGCTGACTAGGTGAATGGTCAGTTAGATCCGGTTTCTTCCATTCCTGTCCTCATTTGTTCTTTCCTTTCTTGTGCCTTGTTCGTCTGTCCTTAACTGAAGTCCACTCCCACTCTCTCACTCTCTCTCTCTTCCCTTCTCCTCTTACTCAGTAAGCACCACCATCAGCCTCCTTAGAGCTTAAATAGACCTCAGTGAGAATTTAATAGTGTGACCATGATACATAACAAGTGTCTGTCCAGCAGGGTGACATCAGCAGAGGGGAATTTGCTTGTATCCCTGCCCAGCTCCTGCTGGCATCTGGGGCAAGTAAAGAGAGGCAGGTCTCAGATAAGCTGCTTTTTCAAGACTACCAACAGAGAAAGCAACATGATGTAGCAGGGAGAGACTTGGTCATTTGGGCTCCTAAGCAAACTGTGCACCTGACCATTTTTATCTTACCTTTAAGATATAACGCTTAACATTTTAATTAGATGAACCATTTGTTATGCTACAGTATATATTTTCCAGCAGCAGATAGTGTGTTTACCAGTAAGTCTGTAATGCAAATGCAGGGCAGTAGTTGGCAGAGTCCACATTTCCTGCACAGGATTTGAATTGTGCACCTACAAACAAGCAAATATCAGTGAGCAATGCATACACATACTAGACAGTAGACACCACTCAATCTGAATGTTGACTGTCTTTGATTTTCTATGTAATTTTGAAAGAATTCTGGGATGTACCCTGTTTCTAGTATATTGAACCACCACAGAAATCTTAAGGATTTCAACAATATGCTTGTTTGCTTTCTTGCTGGGAGTAAAATGAAGCGGTCCATAAAACTCTATGGACTGAGAGCTGGGAGTCAATTAGCTAGCTGCCTCTCAAGTTGTTATAAGCTAAGCTAACTGAGTTCTAGCTCAATAATTAATGCACAAATATAAGAATATTGTTCTCCTCATCAAAATAATGATGAGACAGCATATAAACATTTTCCACAAAACCGTTACTTTAATGATGCAACTGAGCAAAGTCCCAGTATAGTCGTAATGGCTGAACACTGCAGCTGATCATAAAGTGATGGTGGTAATGGTAACTTTGTTAGCTTTATCACACTAACATTTTTTTTACTTCTGTTACAGCTGTTCTTTTGGTGCAATTGTATAAAAAATTTATTTGAGATTAACGAAAGTATCTGAACTTGATAGTGGAGCAAATATACATGAGTCGAACAATCATCTAACAATTGAGGGGTGTTGGTCAGTAAGTGAATGTCTTCTAGGTTTGTTTTTTTCTAAGAGCTTTCATTATGCTACTTAAAATTGTATGTAATATGTGGGCTGCTCTGGCAGCAGGTAATTAAAATATTTGTGCACCTTTGCCAAATGCTAAGACATTCTCTAGACACATGGTTCAGTTTCAAAAGTAAAAGGAAGAAGAAAAAGGATGAGGAAATGGCAAAGGGGGCAGGGGTGTATGAAGGGCAGAAGTAAAGAATAAAGTAAGTAAGTAAAGGATAAACCAAAGTAAAGGCCCAAAGAAGAGACCTATGATAGGCAGTGACAGGGTGATGCTGCTCCTCAGACTCCTTAATCTTTTTTATCCACACAGGCAAAGACAAGTCAGCACCCTCCTACAGTAAGTGGATGTTCTCACCTTGACCCATTCTCCATCCTTCTGTCTCTCCTTCACCCTCTCATGTTACACCATTGGCCTTATCTCTCATTTATTCCATTTGTTTCTTTCATCCTCTCTGCCCTTCTCTTTGGCTGCCAACATCATGTTGACACAGACTGTGTACAACTCACTGATCCATCGCAGCCTCTTTTTAGTCATGTGACAATGGCAGCATCGCTGTCATCGCCTCATCAGTCAAAGTGGCACACTGAGGCTGTGCTGGCCCTTAATTTCAAATTAAAGGCACTGTCATTACACAAACACACACGCAAACTTTTTTTTTGAATAGCAAAATCTATGATATGTTTATGATAACATAAAGTCTAAAGAACTCTCTGAAATCTGGCACTCATTAATTTCACACAATAATGTGTTCCTGTTGAAAATATCCAGTCGGAGAATGATTATATTACCAACTGTTGCCGTGCGCACTTCCATATCAGTTTGGAAACTGCCTATTGTTGTTCCTCAGCAAGGCAGGAAGCACCTTTCACAACATACTCACCCTCCTCATGCTGATTCAGTCCAATGCAACGAATAGCGCTTCTGATTTCTCAAGTATATTTGGCAACGTGTCAAGACAGTAAAATGGATTACTTTGCTACTGGATTTAGATCATTCATAAAAACCTTATAGGATCATAATCTTTATAGGAAGATGTGAAAACACTACTAAAGTGAGCACAAGGGACACATGGAGATCATGTGCCACTACTGTGACCCTACAGGATAGGTAGTGGTGCATCGCTGATGGCTTATGATGGGAGATCAGAGCAGAAATAACAGAACACAGCAAACTCCCTTCTCTCACAACATTCTGGCTCTGTGGTGTCCTGTGAATAACAGCTATGTGAGCGTGACTGCACAGCACTATTTCTGTGTGCTCTGCTACTTGACATTGAGAGGCCTGGATTAGGTGTCTCCACCAGTGTAAATGACCAGCCACCGCCACACATACAGACACATGTACACATTTGTGTGTTTTTGAAAATACACATGTACACCTTTTGTACATACACCACATATAAAATCTTTTGACCTCCATAGTGGAAAATTTGCTGTGTTTATCTGTAATTGAGATAGTATAATTGTCAGTATATTGTTGCTGTCCTCTGAGCACCTTGTATTTCACAACAACATATCTCAATATCTGCTTTTTACAAGTGAATGAAAGCAGGTCTGTTTTCAGCTTTGTGACAAGGTATTTTTTAGATAATCCATCTGGTTTTTAAATGGTTTATTTATATTAAAGTGGAACTGTGCTGATCTTACACATCACAGTTTGTTCTATTCACAGTCTTACTGATATGAATATATGTCGCCTGAAATGATGTGACTAATTTGGGGTTGAATAGAAGTTTGAAAATGAAAAATATCTGGTGGGGTGGTGTTAGGAAGAAGTGAGCTTACCAGACCTGTGTAATCCATGTCTTATCTCTGCTTGTGGATAGCAGCTGAAGTTTTCAAAAGCTTCTATTAACAGAAAACACACACATTTCCATCTGAATTGCCAGTGGTTTTGTTGCATTGTGGGTAATATAAGCACTAACTTAAGAAAAACTGGAACGTTTGGTTCTGGTTGGTCTCGTTCTACTGCATCAACTTTGATCAAGTTTTAAATGTGTCTGACAATGCTAAATTGGTGGAGTACTATTTTAAGGAGAACAAGAATCCAGTCAATCAATCCACAATGGAACACTTCATTCCTATGTTTATTTGAAGGTTTCACTGGAGATACATAGTTTATACTGGACAGTGACAACAGGCCTAGACTGTAACTGTTTGTCTTCTTAGATTGTTTTCATGCATGTGAATACATTACTGAATATGTGTATTTTTCTGTTTTGTTTTCAATCATGCTCCTCAAATTCCCCCTTGACTGACAAATAAAATGTTTTGAATTTTATTTACTTTAGCTGCCATAGGCAGGCTAAAAGTGCAAAGTGAGAAAATGTGCATGGATAGCTTTTTCCCCAAAAGACTTAAATGCTGAACTTCAGTTTTTTTTTTGTGTGTGTGTACTCAAAAAGTGATATGAGCAATGCTGAGTCTTGAATCTGTTACCACACCCTTATGGTTCAGCTGAGCATCTCTCTTTACCATCCCCCAGTGTGAACACAGGAATCATACATTATCTTATTAAGTCAGTATATATAAAGAAAGTATGTGAATCACTTGTGATTTGCTTTGGAATTTTGCTTGTAATGGTTCAGTTATATCCTATAACCCACACAGATGTAGCACCAAGGCATTAGTCTACTGATAGTATGCTCACTCACACACTCTCTCTGTCTCTCACACACACACACACACACACACACACATGATGTCAGTGTAACAACATCCATGTAGGAGGTGACTTCAAAGGGTGACTAACATTTGACCAGGTCTCAGCCTTCCTTTGAGTCCAGCTGAGTCTTTTGACTGTCCTTACGTCCCATTAAACCTGCATGCAGCGTACATGACAACACTGTTGCATCCTGCTAGTATCTGTTGTATGTGGTCTCTCTGAACTCTGCAGCATTCAGGGCTGGTTGAAGTCTCAGGTGGTGGTGTGTCTTTGAACATGACATCTGTCGGCTCTGTGACTAATGACGTGTGTGGCAGTGGCCTGATGTGCTGTGGCTGAACATCAGCTGTTCCCTGGCCTGTACACCACACATCTGTCGCCCATGGCTCCGTACAGCAGTGAGTCCTCACTGCAATCAGTATGACTGATCTGTCAGCAAGATGGATGACACCATTATCAACACATGAAACTGTTTAGCTCAATGTAAGGCTTCTGATGAACATATTTATTGTCCACAGTACCTGCCCAGATAACTAGGCTTTATTCTTCCATATCTACACTGCACAAACTAAAAATATTTGCCTTTTGAGCACTGAACATAATAGCACTAATAACCAGGATGCAGGTGCTCTGGTTAAAAGTGGTTGTTCTCACGTCAGACACAGGGAAATAAAAATATTATGTTTACTATAATTACACCTCCTGAATGGTCCCAAAGAACACACTGGCGTTATCATTATCCACCAGCCATTTTAAAACACCACATTAATGTGGGCTTCGACTCAGGAAGTCCACCAAAGAACAAAAATAATCTTAACCCAACTGATCTTTCAGTACAGCATCTGAGACTCCCATTAAATGCTGAGACCACAAAATTGAGAATTCATTTATACTGTCAGATGTAATGAAGGAAAAAGCACAAGTCAAAAATTCAGATGATCTTTTTATTTTGCAGTGAAAAAAATGACATGAAAAACAGTCATTTCAAAACTGCAGGACAGGATTTGAAAAAGTGGAACACTTGAATTCCCCCTTTTTTTGTTTCACTTAACAGCTTAACTCAGATCTGAGGGAGCCTCTCCTACAATGATAAGACAACAGGACAATACAGCATATTTATACCACATTCTTGCTATAGTGCATTTGACATTTGACTCCCTTTTAAAAGTTTCAATACAGACGCTGCATGCACATATTTTGTGTTGCCTATTATCAATCCATAGCCAGTGCACTGTATCATAATGACATGCATTGACCTGTCATTACAACATAGAGGCAGAAAACTAAGCCTAATGTGGCCTAAAGTTCTCCAAACCTGCAGGATAGAGTTGGGTGGGGAAAGTGACAGAGCAGGGTTTACCCCCTCCCCAATTACCATTGTTGATGTTCCCTTGAGCAAGGCCCTGATCCCCCATCTGCTACAGTGGCTGACACATCCAACAGGTTATACTGAGCAGCCTCCAGCTGTGTGTGTGTGTGTGTGTGTGTGTGTGTAACTGTGTGCATGTGAGCAGGGTGTTCCTGAATCACACCGCTCTCAACGAAACCACCATGAATTATTTAAAAAAAAAAACAAAGATCATGTCTATTCAATGATCAATTTAACTTCAGTGCTAATTGATCATCTACTGAATGTCAAAATTAAAGTCAGAAATCAGGTATTTATTCATCATTTCTCTTATCGTGAAATACTTTGTGTCTCAGTGAACTTTGGCGTCGTTTGCTTTTCCGTTCCATAAATAAGTATCGTCCAATAAGAAATACAAAAAAACAACTGTAACATCATATTTTAAAAATGGCTGGAGGTGGTTAAAAATCTCTATAAATATAGTTAGCTTAAATAAATAAATTAGAGTTATAAATATACTGTTTACTGTACACAAAAAAGATGGACTTATGAAGAAAAATACAAAATTATGTCTGATGAGAAAAAAAAAATCCAGGTTGAGCTCTCATTGTTGATCAAAATTGTATCTTGTTCAGTTCAGTCTGTAATGACTTTGCTTTTCACACAGTCATGAAGCAGCAGACACTTCCCTAGTTCTTCTCATTACTTTGTGCATATCACCAAACGCTCGTCACATCTCCAGTCAGTCCTCTGGGACACTTAGTATTCCAGTTTCAGATGGGCCATCTTCTACCGAAGGCCTTCAGGAATACAGCTGCCCAGTTTTCATCTGACTGTCCAGTGGAGGGTCAGACAGCCTCTGTTCCCTTCTTCATGTACGTTCCTTTTTCCTCTAGGACCTCTTTTTGCGGTTCACTTCTCTTTTTCTATTTTGAGGTAGAATTTCCACATCTTTGCCTAATATGGGAAAAAACAGAGGCAATGAGCAAAACCTCATTTCATTCAGGCAACAAAGGAGAAAGAAAAATGAAGCTGTTTGTAAGTGTAGCCCCGTTCCTCACTACTCACCCCACTTTGTCTCTTCAGTGGCTGGACGCTAACCCTAATTTGACCTTCTCTTCATTCTCTACATCATACCCTCCCCGCTTGTGAAACCTGTAATGAACAAAAGAAAAGGAGCTTGTTCAGACTATTTTCGGTGTCTAGCTCAGCATTGACCAAGTTTCTAGAAAGTTTGTGAGTCTGTATGGTTGTGAGTGTGTGTCGTTTACTCACCTGAGCATTAATAAAAGGGCTATGATAGTGAGGCAGACAGATGACAGCACCACCGCCACCACAGCCAGAGCTGTGGTGCGGCTGTAGCCCTCAGGCGACTGCACGGGCAGTGTGATAAACTCACATCTTTCACCTGAGTAATTAGGGTGGCACCTGCACACAGGAGGTCAAGAGGTTAATAAATCATTGGATTGTTAGATTATTGCATAGGAGAAGCGGTTGACATGCAGGTGCACAACGAATACTTACACGCAGGATGGCGCGCGAATATCCCTCAGGTACTGACAGGTGCCGTGAATGCAAAAATCCTTATACTTCTTCAGGCAAGGATTCCTCTTCTTTCCCTTTCCTTTCCCTTTCTTTCTTCCGTTTCCTCTCCTTCTCTTTCCTTCAGCGTTTTCAGCCTCCAGGATGACAGACGGGTTTTTGGGCTTGCTTGACATAGCAACTAAAACCCCAAAACAATTCAATTTAATTGTCTTTGTTAAGGGAGTATGGTAATAACTGAATTAAAGCAATGTTGAGAAACTGACACAAGTGACTACCTTACCTCGTGGCAGTTCTATTTCATAGTCTCCAGAGATGCCATCTTCATAGTCCTCTTCGTAGTAGTAGTATTCACTGTCCTCCTCCTCCTCACCTCCCTGACCATACACCGCTGTTGTTGCACCCATGCTTCTGCTCTCGTCCTCGACCCTTTTGTCTTTGGTTGTGCCCAAAAAGTTGACAATGTGTCGTTGCCTGTCGCTCCCATACCTGTCAACTGCAGCACCACTGGCCAGTCTGGACACAACTGGAGGAGAGAATATTCAAAATGTTACAAACTGCATCTAAATACATCTTTAACAGAACAGACCTCCAAAACACCTTAGAAACACATCCTCTAGGGGACAGTCAGTGAACACAGCTTAGTTTAACAAGGTGGGGAGACTTCTATGGGCAAGTTGAAACATGATGTGCACAGGGCAGCTCCAGGCATTTTTTTTTTCTTCTGTTTTAGTGCAATACTGATCCCTGTTAGGAAACACAGAGGCTCAAAGCATGGTCAGTGGGGGTTGTCAGGTATTCAGTGCTTTGCTCAGGAGGACACACAATAAGAGTGGAAACTGACCAGCAGGCCCTCCCTATGTTGTATTGTTTAGATTTGTAAGGTCTGTGGGGAAAAGATGTAGGGGGAAATAAAAGTTGGCATAGTCTATATATACCGTCTCTGCTACACACACACACACACACACACACAAAATGCATGGATAGTTAGGCTCCTAATGCCAGGCAAGAATATGAGTTAAAAATAAATGTATCCAGTTACATAAAGCATGCTCTAAAATAGAGGGATGACCCCATTAGCTCCCGAATAGCCTGGCATCATGAAAACCGTTGCCATAAGGGTTATGAAGTTTACAAGACATGTTATAGCTCACTCATGCTTAAGAGAGTTGTAGGAGACGGTGCAACAGAAGCAGGCACATAAAAGTAAATGCCAAACATAGGGTAATAATCCAAGTAATGAAACCAGAAAGAAATATATGATCTTACATGAGCGGACATGAAACTTACCCAAGGCGTGAACCAGCAGGAGCACAACACTGAAAATCCTCATGATCTCAAAACCTCCAGTGACTTTGAGAGAAAAATATTTTTCAAAATATGATGATCTACAAGTTGTATTCCGCCAACTTAATCCAATTCTAAATATTCGTTCTCTTTCGTCTTATTTATGGATTTCTTTTTTTTTTTTTCCCGGTGGGTTTGTGTAAACGAGTTCCGCCTGTTTGCGACCTATTCGCGTTGCTTCAGACGGGGTGCGTCTCTCGCCTTCCAGGCTGAGAGGAGAGGACCGAAAGAGCGTCTGCAGTCAGAGACACCGCGGGATTTATACCCTCCACTTGACCACGCCCACAGTCTGCATTTTGAACTAGCGGCTGCATGAAAATGTGTGGGCAAAGGTAGGGAATTGCCGTACTATGATGTTTTAAACAATACATAACTAATTATTTTCTTATTCAGATACGCATATAACCAATTCTGCAATAACTTTCAATGCACTCAATCACCCCATTTATCACGATCCCTCCCCCATACTGGGCTATTCCGTGCCACTGCGACTGCGCAATAAATGTAAACAAACGGTGTTCATGTCTTTACTGGGAGACTTTGTAATTGCTTGTCTGTTTGTTTTGACTTAATAAAAGAAAAGGAAAAAACATGTCTTTACTGGGTGAGGCGCCAAGATTCTGAGCAGCAGAATCAAACTTGAAACGAATGTATCCCAGTGGGAATTCATAGAAGAAGATGGAAAAACACCAGTACAGCAGAAGAAAACTACATTCAAGAGAGCCAGAAAGAGAAATACCAACGTCTTGGTCCACTTAGCGGTTCTCAGGCAAACAAACAAACAAACAACAAGGCAAAAAGGAAAAGGAAAATAAATAAATACAATTAAAATTAGTCCAAGGTTACTGCTTCCACCGTCATTAGGAACAGATAGCCCACTATCATAGTGCAGACATTACACAGAGACATACTTACAAATTGTCTTGACACAACCTGGATTTCATTCAGTGGCAGGCGGAGATATTATTGGTGATCTTCATTAATCAAATCTGTTGCAGACTCTCTTCATGGCATTACATTACAACTTATGGTAATCAGAAATTGTGATCGTGAGCCTGGAAACAACAAAGATAATCAGTAAAGCAGTATTTTGTTCATATTTTTATTTGTAAAAGGAAAATTGAAATAACAAATAAATAAAATCAATACATTCACTCTGCTCTTAGTAGGCTATATTAGAACCATTAGATACTGCAGTGGTTAGTGCTGTTGCCTCACAGCAAGAAGGTTGCAGGTTTGAGCCCCATCTGACCCGATATCTTTCTTCGTGGAGTTTGCATTTGCCTGCGTGGGTTCTCTCTGGTTACTCTGGCTTTCTCCCACAGTCCAAGGACATGCAGCTTAGGTGAGTGGTGACTTTAAATTGCAGTGTGAGTGTGGTTGTATGTCTTTATGTGTCAGCCCTGTGATAGACTGGAGAACTGTTCAGGGTATACCCAGTGTCAGCTGGGATTGACTCCAGCCCCCTGTGAAACCTCTTCAGGATAAGTGGTATAGATGATGGATGGATAGTTCTTGCGTTTATTGTTGTATTACCCATTATTAGCAGGAAAATTGAAACGAATATCAATCTGATGGTCATGATGGTGGTTGACACTACTAAGGGACTATTATTGTAGTCTGCCTACTATTAAATAAACTTGTACTTAACCTACCTGATAGTTTCTATGGATGCTTTTGGAAATTAGTTCAAGGGTTATTTTAGTAATATGCATCTATTAGTCCTATCCCGTTCTGTCTTGACACTGCTGATTTCTGTACTTTGAGCTGTTTCTTTCTTTTCTGTGGAGACAGACAGATAGACAGACAGACAGGTAGTTGTGACACAACTGATAACTTAAGAAAAATAATTGCATGCTTAATGGCACTGATGACATTTTTAAAATCTGTAAATAATAAAAACTCCTTGTAAAGAGGTTCATCGGGTAAATGATGTGCAGCTTGTCTGTGCCACCACCATGTGGCAAAAGAAGGAGCTACAACTCTTGGTCCAAGTTTACTTGGAGAAGTTTAATACATGATACATCACTAAAACAATATGGATATAACATCTTTTAGCCTGCAGGTTTTATGCGTGTGTCAAATGATTACTGCAGGTTTACCAGAGAAGTGTAAAAATACAGTATTTGCCTCTCTTTTTATTTCTGTTTATATTAACTGGTTAAGCAAATTAACACTCAGATGCAGTATATGTATGTATAGGTATGTACATTTGTATATAAATGTATGTATAGCCTATATATGTACATACTTTACATGTATATATTTACTAGACCTTTTTTTTTTTACTTCAGTCCACTGTTTTCCCCACTCCAGTATCTTAGGTGTTGGTGGTGGTGCTGGTTTATTAACTGGCCATAAATTCAAAGAAGAAGAAAAGTCCTCACATCATGAGGGGATGTTTTGGTCTGGTCACGTGAGAAAGGGGAGGGAAAATGTCACGTGATGTCTTACGGGTTTAGAATAGGAAGATGATTTTGTGTCATATATATAAAATCTGTATTAAAAATCCAAAATCACAAGGCACACATTAAAACAATAAAATATATACAGTGGGTACGGAAATTATTCAGACCCCCTTAAATATTTCACTCTGTTATATTGCAGCCATATGCTAAAATCATTTAAGTTCATTTTTTCCCTCATTAATGTACACACAGCACCCCATATTGACAGAAAAACACA